CCTGGGGGAGTAGAGTCCGTCACCGGGAGGCTCTGTGGCTCCCGAGACCTTCCCCAGTGGCCGGGCTGACCAGGCAGGCTCTGCCTGTGGACAGGGGCAGCTGAGCATGAGTGTGTTACCCCATTTCTGAGCTGTGGGTGGACCCACCAGGCCTGGGCCAAGGTTTTCAGGAGGCAGCTCTATTTTTCCCAGCCATGGTGGCCTCCCTGAAAGGGGTGAGTGTAGAAGCTGGTTCCCTCTCCTGCGGGCCCCACCCCTACCCCAGGAGGACAATTGTTGTTCAGGTAAGGTCTCCCCACCCACTTCCCCACCCCACACTGGCCCACAGGCCTCCGGGCCCCACCCTAGCGAGTACAAGGGGATCCCCAGGCTGCTCACTGGCCCAGCCCTGCCCACGTGGGCTGCACCTGAAAGTGGGCTCAGAGAGGCCGTGTGGCCCCAAGACGCTGGTGGGTAGGAAGAGGCGGTGGCCTTGTGCCCGCAGCGCCCCTCCTGCCCCAAGGGTGTTGTCTACCTGGCAGGGCCTGGGGTGTTCACAAAGCCCAGGCACCTGCAGCTGAGGGCAGGGGAGGGAGCCACATCCAGGCAAGGGGGCCGCTGGATACAACCCCATCCGGACCTGCTCGTCCTCCTGTGCGAGAGTGGGAAGACTCAGGCCAGCCCGAGCGGGCGGCGGCCCCAGCTGCTTGATCTAAGCTCTGTTTACACTGCCTTGCCCTTCCGGGAGAGGGGTGAGCGCCAACTGATGCCTGGGCTGTCTGGGCTGGGGACCGGGATCTCAGACCCAGCCCCTGCCCTGGACACGAGGAGTCAGTCGGGGGGGACAGAGGGCTCGGTGGCTGGAGGGCAAGGCTAGGGCACGGATGCAAGCTGCAGGTGCCACAGAAGTTTGCCCTGGGAGCCCAGGAGGGGCCCATGGGGCCCCAGGCTGGCCCGGGACAGAGGCGTGGGGTGGGAGTGGGGGACAGGGGATCCCATCCTGAGTCGCTGCCCTCTACAGAGACAGACCATGGCCTTGCCAACGGCTCGACCCCTGTTGGGGTCCTGTGGGACCTCCGCCCTTGGCAGCCTCCTGTTCCTGCTCTTCAGCCTCGGTGGGTACTAGGTGGGGCTGCTGGCGAGGCGGGGACGGCCCAGGGGCCTTGGGGGCCGGGCTCTCAGCAAGGCTTTGCCTGTCCCTACCTTCTCCCTGGACTGCCTGTGGTGCTCACGTCCCAGCAGCAGTCTCTGCCCCCAGAGGTGACTGGAGCTGGAGGCCCAGCCACGGAGGGATGGGGCTCAGGACATAGTGGGGATGTGTGTGGGATGGGTGTCTGACCAGCCAAGCAGCCGGCTCCCAGGGGAGAATGTGGAAGGCCAGGCTCCCCGTGGAGTGCAGATCCCTGTGCCTGGGGGACTGTGATGTCACGGGGTACACGGGCCTGAGCCACTGGCTTCTGCCACTTTGGGGCGTGCACAGGGCTGGCTCTGGGGGTGGTCGGGCTCTGCCTCCTTCCTCCCCTGGGTCAGGGCACACCCCAGAGGCCCGGGCCCCCCCAAACCGTCCCCGCTGCCCCTTTAGGATGGGTGCAGCCCTCGAGGGCCCTGGCTGGAGAGACAAAGCAGGTAAGGTCCCCTCTGGGGAAACCGGGGAGGGTCTTCAGGTCCCGGGTGGGGGTGCCATGCCATGTTCTCTGTGTCACGTATCCACGGTGCCTGCCAGTTTCCAAGGTCCCTGCTTGCAAAGGGGTACCTGGACCTGCATACGACTGGCCTGGGAGCAGCCAGGTCCGGGGAGTAGCAGCCGAAACTGCAGCTGGGTCTGGGAAGTAGCTGGATGAGAAGTAGCCAAGCCCATGGGTCTGAGACACATCCGGGCCTGGGAAGTAGCTGAACTCGGGGAGTACCTGGGCCCAGGGGTAGCGGGACCCGGGAACTCCTGCTCCAGGGAGCTGGTCTGAGCCATGTTCAGCAGGCCCTGTGCCCCCAGGAGGCTGCGCCCCTGGATGGAGTCCTGACCAATGCACCTGACATTGCCAGGTGGGTCCGGGGTCTTCACAGCCCTCAAGGGTGAGGCTCGAGGGGCCCCCTCCCCCGGCACCCCTCCCCCTGCACCCCTCCCCCTGCATCCACTCCCCCACATCCCCTCCCCCCACGTCCCCTCCCCCCACGTCCCCTCCCTCTGTGTCCTCTCCCCCGGAGTCCTCTCCTGCTTCCTCCTCTGCTCCACTGCAGATCTGACTGGGCTCAGGGCTGCGGAAGGGACTGACACCCCCCAGGTGGTGGCGACTCCTGGTCCTTGAGGGTGTCACCTGGCCTTGGTTGGGGGGTCTGCAGGGAACACCAGGGTCCTTCGGGGAGAGGTGGGGCTGCGGGGCTTGGGGAGCACTGGGTGGGCCCTGCGGGGGAGGGCGATCGTGGGTGCCCAGCCCGACCCCTCCTGCAGCCTCTCCCCACGCCAACTCCTTGGCTTCACGTGTGTGGAGGTGTCTGGCCTGAGCACAGAGCTCGTCCAGGAGCTGGCTGTGGCCTTGGGACAGAAGAATGTCAAGCTCTCCGCAGAGCAGGTCAGTCTCAGTTGGGCTGGGGCAGGTGGGCACGGCTGGGGCTGAGGAATTTACAGGCAGCTCTGCGGTGCCCACCTTGCTACCACCGTCCCCTGCCCCCGCTGCCATCTCTCCCCGGCTAGTTCTTCCCAGAGTTCCTCTGGCCACCCAAGCTGACCACTAGGGTGCCCGTCCACATCAGGGGTCAGCTCCCCAGGAGCAAGTCTGAGATGGTCCTGTGTGCCGGGCCCCCTCCTGGAGCCCCGTGGGCAGCCCTCCAGGCTCTGCCCCAAGGGGGAATCTCTTGCGGGGAGTGGGTGAGACCTGGGGAAAGGGAGCCAGCGGCAGCCAGGCACAGGAGCCCACATCCCCTGGGGCAGTGCTGCAGGCAGCTGGAGATCCACTCCCACAGATTCCCGTGGCCAGGGCAGGGGTGTGTTGTGGTGGGTGGACCAGCCAGGCAACCCTGGCCCACCACATGGGTGGCCGCCCGAAACACTCTGTGCTGGACGCCCTGCCCCTGCAGCTGCGCTGTCTGGCTCACCGGCTCTCTGAGCCCCCCGAGGACCTGGACGCCCTCCCGCTGGACCTGCTGCTATTCCTCAAGTAGGCCCCATCCCCTGGCCCCCGCCCTCCGGCTTCTGCCCCCAGCCCTCAGCCCCACCCCCTTCCCCCTGCCTCGGACCCCAGGCCACAGCAGAGACGTGGAGGCCAGCCCAGCCGCCTCTCAGGGTGGGGACCGGTGTGATCAATGTGGCCTGTCCCCAGCACCCTCTCTCCACAGCCCAGACGCGTTCTCGGGGCCCCAGGCCTGCACCCACTTCTTCTCCCGCGTCGCGAAGGCCAACGTGGACCTGCTCCCGCGGGGGGCTCCTGAGAGACAGAGGCTGCTGCCCGCGGCTCTGGCCTGCTGGGTAGGACCTGGGGCCAGTGCAGGGCGGAGAGGGCTCGGCAGTTCCAGAGGCGCTGAGGCTGGCATCTGTGCAGGGTGTGCGGGGGTCTCTGCTGAGCGAGGCTGATGTACAGGCTCTGGGAGGCCTGGCTTGTGACCTGCCTGGGCGCTTTGTGGCCGAGTCGGCAGAAGTGGTGCTACCCCGGCTGGTGCGCTGCCTGGGACCCCTGGACCAGGACCAGCAGGAAGCAGTCAGGGCGGCTCTGCAGAGAGGAGGACCCCCCTACGGGTAAGAGAAGGTGTCTGGCACCTCGAAGGCTTGCCTGGCGGTGTGGCGTGAGCAGCCCGTGAGGACACCCACGGCCATGCCTCAAGGCCCAGGGTCGGTCACCCCCGCCACAACCCCTATCAATGCCCCCAGCCAGGGGGTATGGCCTAGCCTGGCCATCTCCTCCCTCTCTGTCTGGGGCTGCATTTGGGGGTCCCTGAGCTGTGCCCCGTGTCTGCACAGCCCCCCGTCAACATGGTCTATCTCCACCCTGGACGCTCTGCAGAGCCTGTTGCCTGTGCTGGGCCAGCCCGTCATCCACAGCGTCCCGCAGGTGAGACCCCGACCCCCAGCCCGTGGGGAGCCTGGCCACCCGAGGCTCAGCCTGAGCCCTGCTCGTCCTCAGGGCATCCTGGCCGCATGGCGGCAACGCTCCTCTCGGGACCCATCCTGGCGGCAGCCTGAACAGACCGTCCTCCGGCCAAGGTTCCGGCGGGACGTGGAGAGTGAGTGCCGTGCCCTGCGCAGTCTGGCACCAGGCTGGGCAGCATCCTTGGGGGTGGGCATCTGCAGTTTAGGGTCTCACCTACCCCTCCCTGGCTCTGCAGCACGTCCCATTATAACCACAGAGAGTGGACAGAATCCCTGTTTCCCAGTGGGTAAACTGAGGCACGGGGAGGGTCACAAATTGCCCAAGGTCTCTTCTCACAGCAGATGTGGGAGGAAGAAGGGGTCAAACGAACTCCGGTCCCTGACCCCTGTGCCCTGTGCCCTGCAGGGACAACCTGTCCCCCAGAGAAAGAGGTCCACGAGATAGACGAGAGCCTCATCTTCTACAAGAAGCGGGAGCTGGAAGCCTGCGTGAATGCAGCCCTGCTGGCCGCCCAGATGGACCGTGTGAACGCCATGCCCTTCACCTACGAGCAGCTGGACGTCCTAAAGCATAAACTAGATGAGGTAGTTCATGACTCAGGTTCCCGCCGGCCTGCTGCGTCCGAGCCGTCCCCAGACGCCTGGGAGTGACGTGGGCCCTCCTGGTCTCTCGGCCTGCAGCTCTACCCACAAGGCTACCCTGAGTCTGTGATCCGGCACCTGGGCCACCTCTTCCTCAAGATGAGCCCTGAGGACATTCGCAAATGGAACGTGACGTCCCTGGAGACCCTGAAGGCTCTGCTCAAAGTCAGCAAGGGGCATGAAATGAGTGCTCAGGTGACCATCTGGCTCGGGGGTGAGGGGGGATGCGGCATGAGATTGGGCGGGGCTGGGGGCGGGGTGGGGGGCACAGCCTGAGGTTGTGCTGGTGGTGGAGGGATACATCTCTGCCTGCCACAAGGCTCCTTAGTGGCCCGTCCCACAGGTGGCCACCCTGATTGACCGCGTTGTGGTGGGAAGGGGCCAGCTAGACAAAGACACCGTAGACACGCTGACTGCCTTCTGCCCCGGGTGCCTGTGCTCCCTCAGCCCCGAGCGGCTGAGCTCCATGCCCCCCAGCATCATCGGGTGAGTCCCCAGAGCTCTGCCCAGCAAGGTGGGTCTGTGTGCTGGCACTCACTGTCCACTCACCCTGTCCCCAGAGCGGTCAGGCCCCAGGACCTGGACACGTGTGGCCCGAGGCAGCTGGACGTCCTCTATCCCAAGGCCCGCCTTGCTTTCCAGAACATGAGCGGGTCCGAATACTTCGTGAAGATCCGGCCCTTCCTGGGTGAGCCAGGGAGTTCCTGGACAGGGTGGGCACCACAACGGGGGGGCCACAGACTCCACTCAGGGGGTGCCAGGCCTTTGCCTTCCTGGGCCGCCTACTGCCAGGGTAACTGGGTGGTCACCGGCCCTCTGCCCCCGGGATGTGTGTGGCCTTAGAGCTTGTGGGCTCTGACCCCAGCTTGGGGCGCCAGCCACTTCCGGAGTCTCCCACGCCCGGGGGTCAGGCGGCCAGGCAAACCCAAGCCCTGGAACCCCTAAGGAAACAGGAAGCCCTGTAACCCTGTCACACAACTGGGCTTTCTGCGCCCGTGGTCAAGGGCCTGGGAGTGTGAGATGAGGCCTCAGCTTGGGCGCCTCTCCCTGAGGGCAGGTGGGGCCCCCACGGAGGATTTGAAGGCTCTCAGTCAGCAGAATGTGAGCATGGACTTGGCCACGTTCATGAAGCTGCGGAGGGAAGCGGTGCTGGTAGGGCGAGCGGGAGGAGGGGCGAGTGGAGGAGGGGACAACCGTGGGCGGGAGGGCGTGTAAGGCGGGCCCGCGGCGGGGTGGCGGCGCGGGGCCTTAGGAAAGGCAGGGTCCTGGACTGTGGTGGGGCCTAGGGAAGGGCAGCCATTGAACTGGGGTCAGCTGGCTGGAGACCTCCAAAGTCTGAAGAAGCTGCAGCAGGCATCTGTGGGTGGGGCAGTTTGGACACAGGAGCGTCTGGCAACCCTCTGGGGGCGCTGGGGGAAGGGGACCCTCCCTGATGGCTGCCCGGGGGATCTGGCAGCCGTTGACTGTGGCTGAGGTGCAGAAACTTCTGGGACCCCACGTGGAGGGCCTGAAGGTGGAGGAGCAGCACAGCCCCGTTCGGGACTGGATCCTAAAGCAGTGGCAGGACGACCTGGACACACTGGGGCTGGGGCTACAGGGCGGCATCCCCAACGGCTACCTGATCCTAGACCTCAGTGTGCGAGGTGGGCGGGGCGGGGCGGGGCGGCCAGGGCTGGGGGCAGGGCTGGGGACGTGGAGTTGGGCGCTCTGAGTCACCCCTCTCTCCGTAGAGGCCCTCTCGGGGACGCCCTGCCTCCTAGGACCTGGACCTGTACTCACCGTCCTGGCTTTGCTCCTGGCCTCCACCCTGGCCTGAGGACCCTACTCCCTTGCTGGCCCCAGCCCTGCTGGGGATCCCCGCCTGGCCAGGAGCAGGCATGGGTGGTCCCTGTTCCACCCCAGGAGAACTTGAGCTCAGTAAACGCGAACATGCCCCCTGCAGACACGCCTTGTGACTTCCAAGGACTTTGTGACCCCACCAGCATGGCTCCTCTCCCTCTGGTCTTGGGCCCTCAGGCCAGGTGGGGGCCCTTGGAGGCCTTCCTGACCCTGCTGCCACTGTGCTGAGGGCCAGGCCAGCACTCAGGGTGGCCCCAGTAGACAGCGGTGGGAGTCCCGTGCCCCCATCCCCACAGGCTGGGCCCTGGCTAGGACATTCCCAGGCCCCCCTGTTCAGACCCTGAACACGAACACAGGCGGGACCACAACCTTGGACTTTATTCACGACCAGCAACGAAGTCAGTGGTTCCAAACCCCAGCCCCAGCTGCAGCCGCAGCCCCAGCCCTCTGCAGAGCCTGGGCAGTGTCTTCTGTGTCCCGCCTGGGCCTGTGGTTGTGCGGGAGGCACCTCCTCAGGGCCTGGTCCTCAGTCCAGCTCGCAGGGCCTGGAGGCGGGGATGGGCGGGGCGGCCTAGGAGGTGGGGCTTGGGCAGGTTGGCCTGGCCTAGAGCCGGCCCCTCAGTCCTAGTGGGCGTCCAGCTGAATCTAACAGCCCTGTTTTTCCTGCACCTGACCCCTGTGAACCCAGCCACCCCGAGGCAGCAATGTCCACAGAAGCCAGGGTGCAGGTCCCCCAGTGCAGCAGCCACAGGAGGCTAGAGGGCAGGGCCACCGCCAGGGGCAGGTACCCCAGGGGGGCCCACGGGCTGCCTGTAGATGGAACAGGGAGGACACCATCAGTCCCCCAGACGCTACCCCCATATCCACCCCCTGGAGCCAGACAGGCCTGGGCAGCCCCTCCCTCTGGCTGGGGAGGGTGGGGATAGCCGGCGAGGACACCCGTCTGCGGCGGCTCTTCTGGGACCCAACAAAGGTCTCAAGGCTTCCCCTGCCCCCGCTTTCTGCTGGTCAGTGGGTTTTAGGGGTTTTAGGGGAGGCAGCTGCGTCTCTCACTCAGTAGGCAATGAAGGGTGAAGCCAGGGTTGGCCAGCGTCATCCCAGGAGGCAATGGACAAAGCTGGTGGACAGACTGTGGGAGTGGCCACGAGGCGGGGAACAGGTCTGAGAGGGCCCTGGGCAGAGGGGGCCAAGCCGGAGGGGTGTGGGGGCCATACCTGAGGTGGAGGCCTGGGCAGCGTTCCCGGGCAGGCCTGAGGTGTGGACCAGATGAGGCGCTTGGTGGGTGGTGCTGGGGGGCCCGCTGGTGCCGTGGGCTGGGCCGGTGGGGCTGGAGGGGCCGGTGGGGCTGGTGGGGCCAGCGGGGCTGGCGTCAAGGCCCAGCTGGCCCAGGGCGGAGCTGTTGAGGCTGTACAGCCAGGACCTGACGGTGGGGTGGCTGCGGGCCTTCTGCAGGTCTCCCACGTTGTGGCCCAGCAGCGCAGTCACGTTGCTGACATCTAGGCTCTGCGGGGAGGGGAGGGGCGGGGCAGAGGGGCCATGGGGCCACCTTCCAGGCCAGGGGAAGACCCACAGGAGAGGGCCAGAGCCAGGAGTGGGCAGTGGCAGGAGTGAGAGGCCCAGAAACGGCCTGGAGTGGGAAAGTGGGGGTATGCTGGCTGTGACCTGTGACCTAGGGGCTCCCCCATCTGGGCCAGCCCTGCACCCCCACCCTCACGGGGCAGCCCGGCCCCACCTGCAGCACGCGGGGGTTCAGGCTGGTGAAGGTGTCGATGTCCATGGAGATGTTGGCCTGGGCCAGGTGCTGCAGCTCCTCCACCGGTGCACCGCCTGGGGGGACGGGGGTGAGGGGGCGGTGGGGAGCTGGGACGGGGGTGAGGGGTTGGGACTCCACAGGCGGTGGAGGGGGAGCCACCCGGGGGGATGGGGTGAGGGGGCGGGGCTCCACCCGGGGAGCTGCTGGGGGAACAGGGGCGAGGGGGTGGGGCTCCACGGGGCGGGGGGGGAGCCACCCAGGGGGGATGGGGGAGGGTGAGGGGGCGGGGCTTCAACGGGGTAGCCGCTGCGGGGACAGGGGTGACAGCTCAGGGCTCACCGAGGTAGGGGCGCATGAAGTGGTAGTAGGCAGCTGGGGTCCTGCTGCTGCTGCTGAAGGCCTCACGGGCCTTGGCGTAGAGCACGTCCTTCCGGCTCTGGGGGCAGGAAGAGACGTCCAGGGCCCCGGCCAGCCTGGGGGAGGCAGGAGGCTGAGGAGTTGGCCACCAGTCCCCGACCCTTCCAACGGCTGGGCATGGCCCTCCCTTCCTGAGCCACAGCTTTCCTCTCACCCTCTGTCCTGGGGTGAACAGGGTTCCCCCAAATTCACATCCACTCAGAACTTCAGAATGTAACCTTGTTGGGAAATAGGGTCATTGCAGATGGGATCAGGTCAGACTGGATCAGGTGGGCCCTAACTCAATGCCTGGGGTCCTTCTAAGGACAGGGAAAGCTGAGGGCCAGGTACAGTGCTCTCGCCTGTAATCCCAGCACTTTGGGAGGCCTGGGTGGGTGGATCACGAGGTCAGGAGATCGAGACCAGCCTGGCCAACATGGTGAAGCCCCGTCTCTGTTCTTCTACTAAAAAATTACAAAAAAAAAAAAATTCGCCTGGGCTTGAAGGTGGCGGGCACCTTTCGTCCCAGTTTCTACTCAGGAGGCTGAGGCAGAGAATGGCTTGGAACCCTGGGGAGTGCGGAGCTTGCATGTGAGCCGGAGATTGTTGCCACTGCACTCCAGCGCTGGGCGACAGAGCTGAGGATTCCAATCTCAATAATAATAAATAATATAATTAATAATAAATAAAATAAATAAAGTCACCCAATTTGTTCCTTTGCTCAATGCTAGAGTCCGGCTGGGCGCAGTTGGCCAAGCCTGTAATTCCAGCCACTTTGGGAGGCCAGAGACGGGCCGGATCACGGGAGGTCAGGAGATCGCGACCCAGGCCTGACTAACACGGTGAAACCCCGTCTCTACTAAAAAGAATTACAAAAAACTGCGTGA